CGCGGTGGCCAGCAGCAGGAACAGCGCGGCCTTGGAGCACAGCCCCGCGCGGTAGCCGCGCTCGACCGGCTGAGAGAAGAGCTCGTAGAGCGCCATGAGCACAGCGCCGAGCGAGTCCGCACCCCTAGAGTCGAGACTCTAGACCCCTTGGCGGTAGCGAAGGGATGAGCAAGTTTGGCTTCTCCTGGTTGCCATAGCCTTGGTCTCCACGGCAACGGACGGCGCAAGGAAGGGAACCAATAGCAAGGCCCCGGGACCTCGGTGGGCGGGGAGCTAAGGAGGGGCGGTGCCCACTGGGACGGTTGACCTCGCTTTACACATTACGGGCGTTTTCCCAAAGGCGGAGTGGGAATACGTTTCTGTGCACCAAAATCGTAGCTGTCGTGTTAATGTGTGTGAAATAAGATTTTCATAAAAGTTGGCCCGAAGTTAAATATTTGTGCGTCTTTCATTAAATATGAATCAATGGTTCATACTTGAGTTCAACCAGTCCCGATACACCCTGCATTGAAGGAAAGCACAGAACATCCTTGTGTCCGTGATCTCCGACCTGGTCCTGGGCTAAGACCAAGATCAGGCCCCTTTGTCTCTAAATTTCCTGTTGCTTTCACTATACGGCAGCATAGGGACGGAAACAGGACACAAATCTCCCGGTTCTTCGTGGGATAAAGAATAATTACTACATGGCTCTCTCGGTCATACTTTGTTACCCTGATTGGGCACAAGCTTGTCTCTCGGTTTTAGGGGAAGCTGTGATCCTCCCCAAAGATAACACTGGCTTATCACTGAATTGAATGCCCCAATCCCCGGCTGTAAGCCAGTATTTCAAACATGGCAGAAATTTTCTCTCTCTCTTTTTAAAAACCATGGTTCACATCCAAGTTCATCAAAAGGCCTTGAAGGGTCACATTACAGTGCCAAGACAGCGTGTGGAGTCCAGTAGTTGAGGCCCTTATTGTGAAGGCAACCTAGAAGTGGCTTTTATATTAAGAGAACAGCTGAGATCCTAACAGAAAAACAGAGAGAGGTCAAGACCTGCCCTTCTTTAAAAATGATCCAGGTTCCTTACCACAGTCCAAAATGACAATGTCATCAGCCAAAAGATGCTTTTGACCTCTGGTCCAGCACTACTCATTCTTGCTTTAAAGCTTTTCTGGGATGGCCACGAAACTCTTAAAGATAGTAATTGTATTTCTTAAATCTTGTTATGATTCTGACATTACAGTATGTTGTATCTATGCTTTAAGTAGATGTCTTTCATTCAATTAAATAACCATCAAAATAAGATGGTTCTAGAATAGATGGTTCTAGTGCAGTGATGGTGAACCTTTTGAGCTCGGCGTGTCAGCATTTTGAAAAACCCTAACTTAACTCTGGTGCCATGTCACATATAGAAATTTTTTGATATTTGCAACCATAGTAAAACAAAGACTTATATTTTTGATATTTATTTTATATATTTAAATGCCATTTAACAAAGAAAAATCAACCAAAAAAATGAGTTCGCGTGTCATAGGTTCACCATCACTGTTCTAGTGTCATCTTCTGAGGGTGGCTCTGCTCTGAGGAAGGAGATGTTTGCCTTCAAGGCTCCTTCTTTCAGCAGAAGGAAACACACACATTGTAGCTAGTGTTAGCTTAGTCACTGCTGAAACAGGGAGGTGACTGCCAAGAATTTAGGTGTATGAAGTGCTTCAGCCTCCCCTGAGATGCCATGAGTTTCCAAAACTATCTATATAATAAAAGGCTAATATGCAAATTGTCCCCAGTTTGACCAGGGGGTGGGGCCATCTGGCCAACTGCCTGTGGTCCCTCCCCCAGCCCAATCGGCCTGGACTCCACCTGTGCATGAATTCGTGCACTGGGCCTCTAGTCTATAATAATAAAAGCGTAATATGCTAATTAGACCAGACATCCTTCCGGACGAAGCCGGGGCTGCGAGGGAAGCCCGGGTCTCGGGTGTCAGGGGGAAGCCGGTGCCGGCAGCCAGGGGAAGGAAGGCCTACTCTTGCACAAATTTCATGCATTGGGCCTCTAGTCTAACAATAATAGATACTAATATTTACTCTTTGATGCCATGACTTGAGGAAGCTAGTCGTTGTGGTTCTATTTCAATTCTTTTAGAACATTCGATTTTTTTTTAATGCTAAAGATCTGCGTATATTGTGTCATTTTCATGCATTCATGACTCAGAACTGACTTTTTGGTTTCCGAGGACAAAAAGAGTCATTCTCTGAAAACTACATATTTTAATTATGCTCTATTATTTTCTAGAAGCTCCTATTCAGGGCCTTTGAGTCATGTTAGAACTCCTGAACATTTGCTTCAAGGTTTTCCAACATTTTTTGGCATTTACCTATATCACTGAACTCTTGGCTTTCCAGTTTCTTATAACTACAGCTTTTGTTTCTATGTGTTAAGGAAAGATTATCCTTTGAAAAATGTAACCACCCCAAAACATAAGATTCACATTTTCTCTGAAGTCTTTCTTAATAAACATCTCTTGGCTTTGTGTCAGCCCCATTGCCCTAAGCCATCCCTCAGTATCCCATGTTCACACACCTCTCCAACATTTGAAATTTTTTTATCGGTCTGTTAATGTCTAATTGTATATATTCATTATCCTATTTCTCCTCCTAACTTACCTCTTCAACTAACCACCCCCTCAAGGAAGACATCCAGTGTCCTTAGAACATCCAATAAGCCAAATATAACTACCCAATGGGTAAAGAAGGTGATGTATATTATCAAGGAAGATCAGAGAAATTAATTAGAACTGGAAAGAGACATCATGAAAGCATGTAAAGATAGAAAACAGAAAGACACTGTACATCATTAAGATCCTCAGGTGTCATGCCTATGGATTGGTGGGTGGTGGATTGTTCCCCAGAGAAGTGTACTAAGCTCTTCCATGTGCAAGGAGGTGTACATGCCTTGGAGTAGGACACATGTCCAGCTCTGTAAAGGGAAGCAGGTGTTTCAGTCCAATTTCTAACTCCTCCACTGACTCACTATCAGATGGTGAACAACCATCTTCATTCCTCAATGTTTGTTTCTATTTGCAAATAAGGCATTTACATTTTCACTCACTCTCTCGCTAATTTAATAGCTTTAAGTCCTTCTCTCCTGAATTTGAGACTCATAGAGCCACTCAATGACTCTACATCTTCATTTGCATGTGTCTCTTGGACATCTTATACTTAATATATACAAAACAAAACTCTTAATTCTCACCACCCCAAGCTGAATCCACTCTATTTCAGTAAATGGCAATTCTATCCTTCCAAAAAATCTTGACTTTGACTTATCTGTCACACATCATCTCCACTCCATCAGCAAATTTTGTCAGCTCTATTTTCAGAATATATTTAGAGTACAATTGCTTCCCACCACTGGCACAGGCACCATCTTGGTCTATAAGCCATCATCTTTCACCTGGATTATCACAATAGCCTCTTAACTCTTCCCCTTGCTTCCCTCCTAAACCCCTTATAGTCTACTGTCTACACAGAAGCTAGCCTGATCACTTAAAAAGGAGAGTTATATCACATCACACCTCCGCTTAACATGAAATTCAAAAGCTCAACACTTTCGGTTTCAATCTCCTTTATCTCACCTCATAACATACTCCTCCTTGTTTTTTCCGCCCCAACCACAAGGGTTTCCTTCCTGCTCCTAGATTTGCCAACCACTTTATCTAGTTAGCATTCTATCACTCTCTTTTCACCAACCCCGTTTTATTTTTCTAAACAGCACCCATCATTACCTGACATTTTTTTTTATCTCGTTTCACTAGAATACGAACTCCATGAGAGCAGAGGTGTCTGTTCTGTTCACTGGTTTTCCCAAATCCTAGAACAGTGTTGCTATATACAACAATAATTTTTGGTATGAAATTCATTAAAATGAATTTTTTTCATTTCATTAAAAACAAGCAAGTAAACTAAAAACTATTTTGGTTGCTCAGACACACAATTTAAAAATAACAAAAATAATTTTAGAATGAAGTTAGATTCCACAGCATCCATCAGGAATTTCAACTATAGGAAATGAGGCATGACAATGTTCAAATATACAGGCCTTTCAGATGCATCAGAATCACAGGCATGTGGCAAGGATCATGTGCCCAATTAAGCAAATATTCTTGTTACATATTCACCAGCTCATAAACATATGATGATCTAGAGCCCTGATGACATCACTGGAAATCCTGAAGGCTCAGGCAGATGACACACACACACACACAGAGCTTATGCTGCGATTGCTGCATCTCACACTGATTACCAAAGAAGCCCACCTCATGATCAGCTATCAGGGGAATTCTCCGAGTCTGATGGTCACCTCTAACTCCTCTGCTTGTTAAGGTTAAGGGGTCTCTCTGTGATCGGTGTAATGTTACAGTCCTCGAATGCACATTTCTGATAACTCTTCTTAAATATTTATTCAAACACGTATTCATGAATAAAGGAAAGAAACTGGATTTGTTTAAATTTAATTTCTAGGTCCAAGCCAACCTACTATGGCTGTTCTTAATACTGAACCCTTGGTTTGTTATCAGTATTCCTCCCCTATGGAGCCCCCAACCTGTTACTCCACATAGGACTTCCCAAACCGTCAATGCCCAACAGAACCCCCCTCCCGCCATCACTAACCACCAGAGACTCCTTTTCTGTCATTCATACCCCCCTAAATACCTCTCTTGTCACTAAGGTCCCAGTCAGACTTCCCTCTGTAAGAGCCCTATCCTACCAGCCGGACCCTCAACCTCTCCTTCCCGTTAGCAACGTCACCGAGACCCGACTCCTATTACCCATTCCCGAATATCTCCTCCCGCGTCGCCAGTGTCGCTCACGGACGCCCCTGACTCCCACGTCATCAACTCCACTCCCGAGTTGACACCCCGCGGCGCCCTCCCCTGCCCCGCCCCTGGAGTGCGGCCCCACCCCTCGGAGCGGC